TGCAGAAGCCCAAGAATTCAGTAATGTTGAATAATATAATTAAAGAATCTTGAAAAGTTTAAGTTTTGATTTTCCCAAAGTCAAAACAATGTAAGTTAAAAATCTGATTTTTAGGGGTGCCTGGATGGCTCAATGGGTTAAGCCACCAAATTTTGAGTCTTGATTTTGGCTCAGGTCATGATCTGTAGGTGGTGAGAATGAACCCCACAACGGGCTCCCTGCTCAGCAAGGTATCTGTTTCTCCCTCTCCCCTCCATGCCATACCCCTCTAAAATAATAAAGCCTTTTCAAAAATCTGTTTTTTATATTTGGAAAACATTAATAATAAACCCTTCTAATTTTACCGCCAAGACTTATAAAGCTTTTCAGCTTTAAAAATAACTATGTTGTTGAATGCTATAAAAAAACATTAGTGGGTCAACTGACAACTGGAATACAGACAGGAGATTTGATCAAAGTATTGTATCAATGTTAAATTTCCTTAAATTGATAGCTGCTCTAAGGTATGTGTAAGACAATGTCCTTGGTTCTTAGGAAATACACAGTGAAGGGATCAAGGGACGGGATATATGCAACTCACTCAAATACTTCAGAAAAAAATACATAATAATAGAATGAAAGATAAAGCAAATGCTGAACAAGAAAAACATTAACAACTGGTAAATCTGGGTATGAGACTCATTCGTATGATTTTTGCTACCTTTGTAAGCTTGAACTTATTTCTAAATAACATTTTTTAATTGAAAAAAGTAACAAAAAACAACAGTCAAAGCTGTCCTAAAAAACACTTTAGAGCATGCTGGACCAACTTCAAGGAAGACATTAAATTAGGGGCGCTTGGATGTCTCAGTGGGTTAAAGCCTCTGCCTTCAGCTCAGGTCATGATCCCAGGGTCCTGGGATCAAGCCCCACATCCCCACATCAGGCTCTCTCCTCAGCAGGGAGCCTGCTCCCCACCCCTCTCTGCCTGCTAACTGTGATCTCTGTCAAATAAATAAATAAAATCTTAAAAAAAAAAAAAAAAAAAGACATTAACACTGTCCAGAAGAAATATAGTATGAGCTATATAGGTTGTATTTTCAGGTGGCCGCATTAAAGTTAAAAGAAACAGGGGCACCTGGGTGGCTCAGTCAGTTAAGTGTCTGCCTTCGGCTCAATTCATAATCCAAGTGCTGGGATGGAGCTCCCAAGCAAGGACCCTGCTTCTCCTTCTCCCTCAGCCCCTCCCTCCCCCACCTCACACCATTTTCTAATAAATAAAATCTTTTTTAAAAAAATTAAAAGGGGGCACCTGGGTGGCTCAGTGGGTTGGGCTTCTGCCTTCAGCTCAGGTCATAATCTCAGGGTCCTAGGATCGAGCCCCGAATCGGGCTCCCTGCTCGGCAGGGAGCTTCCCACCTCTCTCTATGCCTGCCTCTCTGCCTACTTGTGATCTCTCTTTCTGTCAAATAAATAAAATATTTAAAAGAAAAATTTTAAAGAAACAGGTAAAATTAATTTTAACATATTTTACTTAGCCAAGGTTTTAAAATATCATTTTGATGTAATCAATATGAAAACTTTTACACGACATTGCTCAATTTCTTTCATTTGAAGTCTTTACAATCTGGTGTGCATGTTACACTTAGAGCAAAATGCAATTTAGATGTTAAATTTGCATAGGAAATACTTGATCTGCGTTTAGTCTTCATTAAATGAGTAGATCCACATAACCAAGTTGTTTCAACTTACAGTTAAAAGTTTTCCAATCCCTAAACTTTCAGTTTTAAATGTCAACTTAAATTAAAATTAAATAAAGTGGAAAACTCCTTCCTCAATCATACTAGCCACACTGCAAGGTCAGTAGCTACATGTGGTTACACTGTAAGACGGCTCAGCTTTAGATGACAAAACAAATTCCCTCTACGACAGAAGGACCTGATTGCTAAGACTTAGTTTTTCATATTTATCAAAAGATTCTTGGGGACGCCTGGGGGGCTCAGTGGGTTAAGCCTCTGCCTTCAGCTCGGGTCGTGATCTCAGGGTGCTGGGATCGAGCCCCACATAGGGCTCTCTGCTCAGCGGGGAGCCTGCTTCCTCCTCTCTCTCACTGCCTGCCTCTCTGCCTGCTTGTGATCGCTGTCAAATAAATAAATAAAATATTAAAAAAAAAAAAAGATTCTTAACAGTATGATAAAATAATGACTGATAATCCTGTCAGAAGCTCTGGCATCTCCCCAAGTCATAATTAGACATTCCCTATACCACCCCTCAGAAATACCAAACCAAGCCTTTTTTATCTTCTAAGTCAATTGTCATACTCTGTAGTCGTTTCTGAAAATCGTCTGTCAAATGTCCCCCTTTTAAATGTAGCAGAACGAACCTGAGTTCTGGCTCTCAGAAGCATCAATGTCCATTGTTACAGAGTGCAGAGTTTCAGCACAAATACTGTCTGAGAATCCCAAATGGGAGCACGCACACAACAGAACATACCCTGGATTTAAAAGAAATGACCTCAGCAGAGGTGGGTTTTTCTTTTTAAACAGGTGTAAGAGATTGATTCAGTCAACACCAAGCAACACTAAAGATTCGCCAATCAATAATTCTGCGCCAAGCAACTTGATCAGGGATTTGGCTAGAATCCCTTTGGCTAATCTCAATAAAGACCTTCCCAAAGTCATCCTGATTTAGGCTGTTCTCATCTAAATTAAGGTTTAGGCAGTCCTTTGCCTGACAGCAAATAAATGAAATGCTATACACACAAATAAAATTTTGCCTACTTGACAAAAGGAAAATGATCTGAACGGTAATTTAGTGTGGTCAAAAATATAGTTCCAAAAGACAGTAATCATACAATAGCATTTAGAAACCATTTTAGGGAAATGTCTAATTCCTACCTTCTAACCGGACTTTCCAATTGAACAACATTGTGGGTAACAACTGAATTCAATCCACAACTAATTCTGATATTGCTAGTTTTTCTTTCTCTGCAGACATACATACAGGTGTTAATGTTCTTCTTAAACTTGAAAGGAAGATAGTCTTTAAAACCCATGAATCCGGGCGCCTGGGTGGCTCAGTGGGTTAAAGCCTCTGCCTTCAGCTCAGGTCATGATCCCAGAGTCCTGGGATCGAGCCCCGCATCAGGCTCTCTCCTTGGTGGGGAGCCTGCTTCCTCCTCTTTCTCTCTGCCTGCCACTCTGCCTACTTGTGATCTCTCTCTCTGTGTCAAATGAATAAAATCTTTAAAAAAAAAAAACAAAAAAAAAAAAACCATGAATCCTTTATTGTGAATCTACTAGTGCCTGAAATTACGAATCCCCCTGGGGAGTGAGGTAAAAGAGTGTGCAAAATGGTTTTTGACACCTGACCTAGAAGTTCTATGTTCCATACAAAATCCTTTTTTTCCCCTTCTTTTCCCATCCTGCTGATCTAGCTTGCAACATCGTATCAGGAATCACAGACACAAATCTAACCATTGTGTGGAAACTAAAATAATGGTCATCTAAAAACATGTATATATAAACATTAACTCTACTTAAAATACAACTTCTTTCCCTCCCCCCCCCCATTCCTCCAAAGAATCACAAAGCTTTAAGCAGGATGAATACAAAACATTTTAAGCCGTTCTATCAGGGAGGTGAGTTCTTGATTAGATTTATTTGACCCTGGAAATGTTTGGACATTCTGTAGAACACATTCTAACTCAGGGTTTTTGCTAGAAACTTCTCGCTCAATGCCTATGTAATCAAATCCAGTCTCACTTGTCTCTGAAATTAGCTAAATCCGCAGAAATCCATTGTAATTTTAAAAATAGTGAAGAGGAAAAAGAAATAAATGCACCCGAAACTACGCATTCCAGTCCAACAGTTCAAGCACTATTTCGAGATGGCAAGCAAAAATAAAGTCCCACGTCTCCCTCAGGAACAGAAAAAGGTTTTCATGGAGCGGCAGGGTCCAGACCGCGCCGTAGAACCCTCCCCGACCCCGGCCACTCTGCCCCTTCCAGCGGCCTTAGCTCCAGCGAACCAGCCGCGAATCCTGGCTACTTAACCACCTCGAAGCAAAAAGATGTTTATGGGTCAGATGCGTAACAGCTACTTAAATTCTAACACCGAAAAAAAGTATGATTAAACAAGAGTTTCTACACCATATTCATCGGTACGCTTCCTCCTCGCTGGAACCCACAAGAAAAGGGGAGCAACACGAACACCAGAGAGGGGTTTCCCCTTGTTTATTAGACTTAGGCAAACAGCTATATTTAACAATTCCTCCCGAAGGCCTGATGCCAGAGCGGTGGATCTCTTGAGAGGAAGGCACACAGGAAGCAGAAGGCACACCCGCTGCTTGGTGCAGGAGCATTCATTCTCCCGGTGCAGCCAGAGCGGCGCTCGCCCCAGCACCTCGGCACTTTCCAAGCGCCATCCCGGGAAGCCTGCATCCCCACAGCCCAGCCCGCGCTGCCAACAAAGGCTGCATCTGCTGCTTCCAGGTGGGAAACCCCGCCGTCGGGGACGGGGAGCGTGCTGCCCGCCGCAGCCCAGGAGCTCAGGGTCTGCGCGGAGCCGCCCCCGGAGGGAGCCGCGCCGCACCGAGGTCCGGAGCTGAGGACCGCCGCCGGGGCCGCAGGGCGCAGAGGCTCGCAGTACCTCGGGGGAGGGCGGGCTGGGCGTCTGAGCCGCGCAGGGTCCCCAGAGAAGGTGGCGGCGCCACGGGCGGGATGGGGGCTGGGGCGGCCAAGGCTGCCCGCCGCCCCCGGCGTCCCGCAGCCCCGATGCCTTTCATTTGGCCTCTGCGGCGGCGGAGGCAGCTCAACCTCCAGCGCTAAGCACTGCGCCAAGCAGGGGCGGGCGGGGGAGGCGCCGCCAGACCCGCCGCAGCGCCGGACCACCCCCATTCCCCCTCTCCACGCCGCGCCTCCGGCCCGGCCGGACCCCGCCGCCCGCCCGTCCGTCCGCTCGCAGGCCGCGCTCGCACAGCGGGCGAAGGAGACTGCGCTTCGGCGCTCGCCGGGTCCCCACCTCGATGTAGCCGGCTAGTGCCGCGGCAGGCGCCGTGAGCCCGAGCAGCAGCAGGACCAGGAGCTTGCCGGTGGCCGTGGCGGCCGCGGTCCCGGTGGCCGCCATCCCTCGCCGGGTCGCTCTAGCGCTCGACTCTCAAGCTCACACACGAGAACTCAGAACCCTTCCCCACCGCAACCCAGAAGCATCTGAAGTCTGTTCGCCGCCGCCCCGGGGGTTTTACACCAACCGGAACTGACTTCACAAGGCCACGCCCTCTTTTTTCGGGGCCCAATGCCGGGCCATAGAGCCTCCCCAAGGCTCCGCCCTTTGTCCAACCCAGGCCCAATCAGGGAACAAAAGAGCCTGCACCTCCCGCCCGCCCCAACCGCGAGCCCCACCAGGCCCCGCCTCCGGCCTCTGACGACCCCGCCCCCGCCTCGGACCCTGCGTAGCGAGGGGGTGTGCGCAGGGCGCGTTGGGGGCAGCGGCTCGGCGGAGGTTGGAGAATAGCTCTGGCCTCCGGTACCGTGAGAGATTATCTGGCCGCGCTGCGCTGGTGTGTCCGCCTGCAGCCTCCTGATTCGGGCACGCCCCGCTCCCCTAGCCCTGCGGGGTCTGTTTCAGATTCCTTTGGGTACCGCCCTCTTTGAGGTTCTGAAAATGGTTTTATTAAAAACAGAATTAAGACATTTTGTTGTTGTTCCGAGGCCAGGCAGGTTAACCGAAGGCCATCCCGAGGCTGGCGACCGGCTAAATGAGGGAGCTTTCCTCCTCTCCCGACTCCTGCGCTAGGCGTGCGAGTGTCAGAGCTCTGCTCGCCCAGAGCCGGGTTTGCCCTTTCCCCGAGACTGTGATGGGCGGTGTTTGCACGCTTTTGACCTCTGTTCCTTAGGCCTCATCCTTACCCTTCCTTCCCAGCAGCCACTAGAGCTGGGGATAGCTGCCTCTGTCTGGAGCCCAGTGGGGCAAGGACCACGTTGACCGTAAAGCCCAGATGTCTTTCCTCCTGTGTTTTAGGGAAAGATCGTTTGTCTTTCTTGCTCAGTTTAAGATCACTGGCAGAAGACCTGCTTCTCCGCTTTCTTGCTCCACGGCATTTCCACTTCAACTGGGAAAACGTTCTGCTGCCCCATTTCACAACTGGCACTGTCTCTCCACTGCGAGGGCTCTGCTGGCTTTGTTTCCTTTCAATGGCCCTGTGATTTATACACCACTCTTTGTAGAGCCCTTGCTAGTCCCTTCAGGTTCAACCAAATAAATAGAGAAGAGGGTCCCTACCCTAGGAAACAGACAGTAAAAAGAAAGAGACAGTGTCCACAGAATAAACAGTAGAGGGGTGAGAAGTACCCTGATTTTCCAGCCTTATTGCCTGACTGCCCAGTTCTTGGTGGTTAAACAGACTATGTCCCTATTTCCCAAAGACAACCCACACCCTTTCATTTTAGAGCCCTTTGTATGCCTGCAATGCCCTCTGTCCATACCTACCTGTTGAAAACATTGTCATTCTTCCTCCTTCCACTGGATGTAACATCGTCACCTTCTGAATGTTGTTTTCCATTAGGGCACTTGCTCCTGTGGGGAGCAAGTTATGGCACTGATAAGAACTGAGGTATGGGACCTCCTGCAGTAGAGACCTCCACACATGTTTGTGCAGCCACCCTGAAACCAATGATGCTGGGCTCTGGTCTCAGTTCTGGAACAGTTGCTATAACAATTTGTGTCCTTTCCACAAAGTTTCTACATGTTGAAGCCCTAACCCCCAGTGTGATGGCAGTAGGAGGTGGGGCCTTTGGGAGGTAATTAGGGTTAGATGGGGTTCTGAGGGTGGGACCCTCATGATGGGATAAATGCCCTTAGAAGAAGGGGCCAGAGAGACACCCATGTAATACCGCAGTAGGAGGAGAGGAGAGAGCCCTCCACCAGGAACCAAATCAGCAGGCACCATGATCTTAGACTTCCCAGCCTCTCAAAAATAAACATCTGTTATTTCAGCCACCCAGTGACTCCCTTTTCTTCTCTGTCATGTGTGGATATTACAAACCTGTCTCACTTCACCAATTAATGTGACTCAGTGAAAAGTGAGTGTACAAGAGGGACAAGTAGGAAGAGACTTACACCTAAAAGGTGAGAGCAGTGTGAAGCAACATGTTACCAAGAGCAAGTTTCTGTGAAAGTATGTGTGGAAACAGTATCAAGTGACTGTGCAAATTCCAGTTCTGTGGAACAGGCTTCCGGAGTCAGTCCTTCTGGGGTATGTTTCCTTGCCCACAAAAGGATCCCTAAACTTCTATGAATTTAAATGTTGAGAGAAAAGCAAATGAGATTACCAGAATTCAGAACAGTGGGCTTGATCTTCACGCTCTTGGGACTGTATATTCAAGATTTAGCTCTCATAGCATGGGATGGGACCAGGAAATAATGAAAAATGATTTAGGGAGTTTCAATCCAAAATTAAGTCCTGGAAAAAGTTTGTTTACATTTTCAGGTCACCAAAGGATCATTAAAAAGAGTGTATTGCCCCATTCATCAATGGTTTTGACTTTAAAATGCTACCCTCTTTTTATTAGGTACATACCTAGTCCTGCAATTCTTAAGCAATAATTTTCCATCCTAAACCTGTTCATGTCAGTGACAAGTTGTTTGAGGAATGCTGTGTTTTCATTTTATTACCCTTAGTGCGCGAAAGGAAAAGTCTCTAAAACCACCTCCTCTTGTGTCTCTCTTCTTAAGAATCAGACATTCTTGGGGGTGCCTGGCTGGCTCAGTTGGTGGAGCTTGTGACTCTGAATCTTGGTGTTTTGAGTTCAAGCCCCACATTGGGTGTAGAGATAAAGTAAAATCTTTAAAAAAAAAAAAAAAAGATGTTTGCTTAAAGAAGTATCTTCCATGTACCCTTAAGATGTGTGCGTTTCACTGCTGGGGAAAAAAGTAAAGTTCACGTCCTAAGTGTATATACTTCCATGAGTAGCATGAGTGCATTCATCTGACACTTATTTATCCCACACCTGTTCAGGGTGAGGTAAGCCAGGCTAGAACAGTTGCTCCCAAATCAGGATGCTTTCCAAATCATCTAAGAAGATTTATAAAAAGGCGAAGTCTTAAGCTCCTACTTCAGAAATTCTGAATCACTAAGCCTAAGTGACATAAGGAAATCAGTCTTTTTTTTTTCTTAAAGCTTTCCAGGGGATTGTAATCCACTAGTACTTTTGAGAGCTTGACTCTTGAATATCACTGGAACTAGTAAAAAAAATTTTTTTAATTATGTGTAGTAGCTAATTTAAAATTGCCAGTGTTTTCCAAATAAAACATTAAATTAAGATACACTACGTATTACCAATAAACACTAACTCAAAAAGATATATGCATCCCTAAGTTTATTGCAGCATTATTTATAATAGCCAAAATGTGGAAGCAGCCCAAATGTCCATCTATAGATGAAGGAATGAAGATATGGTATATATACATGCACACACACATATACACACGCAGTGGAATTTTAGCCATAAAATTTGAAATCTTGCCATTTGCAACAACGTGGGTAGATCTATGCTAAGTGACATAAGTCAAAGAAAGACAAATATTATATGATTTCCCTCATATGCAGAATTTAAGAAACAAAACAAGGAAAAAAGAGACAATCAAAAAAACAGACTCTTAAATATAGAGAATAAACTGATGGTTACCAGAGAAGAGGTGGGTAGAGAGATGGATAAAATAGGTAAAGGGGATTAAGAAAACCCCTGTGGGTGCCTGGGTGGTTCAGCTGATGAAGTGTCAGCCTTCTACTCAGGTTGTGATCCCAGGGTCCTGGTATGGAGCCCCACATCAGGATCCCTGCTCAGTGGGAAGTCTGCTTCTCACTCTCCCTATGCCTCTCCCCCCAGCTTGTGCTCTCACTCTTTCTCTCAAACAAATAAGTAAAATCTTGGGGCACCTGGGTGGCTCAGTTGGTTAAGCAACTGCCTTTGGCTCAGGTCATGATCCTGGAATCCCAGGCTCAAGTCCCACATCCAGCTTCCTGCTCAGCAGGGAGTTTGCTTCTCCCTCAGCCCTCTCCCCTCTCATGCTCTCTCTCTCATTCTCTCTCTGTCTCTCAAATAAATAAAAAAAAAATTTAAAAAAAAACTAAAATAAATAAATAAAATCTTTTTTAAAAAGAGTACCCTTATCATGGTGAGCACCAAGTAATGTACAGAATTGTTGAATCACTATATTGTACACCTGAAACTAATCTAATCTATGTCAATCATACTGGAATAATAAATAAATAAATGTTAAAAAAAAAAAGAAAAAACAGATATGGGGCGCCTGGTTGGCTCAGTTGGTAAAGCATGTGACTCTTGATCTTGGGGTTGTGAGTTCTAGCCCCAGATACAACTCTGTATTATCACCACTGTTTCATTAAGAAAAAAAACTTCTTTAAAAGGATTATTTATTTATTTATTTATTAGCGAGCAAGCGAGAGAGAACACATAAGCAGGGAGGGGCAGAGAAGGAAGGAGAGGGAGAGAGAGAAAAAAATCTGAAGCACTGGCTGGATTCCATGACCCCAAGATCATGAATCTAACTGAAATCAAGAGTCAGACACTAAACCAAGACACTCAGGCACCCCAAGAAAAGAACATTTAATAACAAAAAACTAAGAATGGTCACATTAAAAATTTTGAAGTTGGATACAATGAACTCTTAGACAACTCACTACATTGCCTTTGTTTTTCTCATTACAATCAGAATGGTGAACATTTCATAATGGAGCAGTCCTGGTCTAACACAGGATGGGATGTTGCAGTACTGAAAATAAATATGAACCAGTTATATGTCTTGTCCTTGACCTATAACTGATAGCCTTTAAATATGTCGCATCCAGAATACATCCCGCCCCCACACACAATCCCCCACCCCATCCATAACTGACTCAGTATTTACGACTTGGCTCAAGTATCACCTGTTCATGAAAGTTTTCTGGTCTTCCCCTTCTTCTCAGTTTGTGCACCTTCTTTATGCGCCCCAGAACATTCTGTACACACCTCTGACATACAATTGGTAAACCCAATATTCATCATTTATTTTCTTTACTGTCATCTTAATTACATCACGAGTCCTTAGAGGGAAGGAACTATGTTCTCCTCATTTCTGTACCTCCACCATCTAACATAGCACTTGAACTTCTATTAATAGGCATTCAAAAAATATTTGCTGAATGAATGCAGAACTAAATG